TTCCCTATCATGGCTGCCATTTTTCATTCTTTGTATCAGTGATTCTCAATGGAGATAGGGGAATTTTTTTTAAAGAATTATTTTTATTTATTTTTATTCATCATTGTTATTTTTTAAATTTGACCAGGAACAGGGAGAGAGAAAGTGAGAAAGCAAGCCACCAAGTCCTAGACTCAAACCATAGTCAGCTATGTGGGAATTCAGCACCCTAACCACGATGCCACCTACTGGCCCCATTTTTACCCCAAGGGACATTTGGCATTGTCTGGAGACATCTTTGATGGTCACAATTTGGGTGTGGGGTGCAGCTGGTTGCTACTGGGATTAAAGAGGCCAGGAATATTGGTGTGTATTCTACAACGCACAGGACAACTTCAAACAAAAAGGAGTCGTTTGGTCTCAAATACCAATAGAGCCCACACTGAGAAACTGCAGTACCATCTAAATTTCCATATGCCCTTTGTCTTCTGTCTGAAGAACTCCTTTTAACATTTCTTGTAGTTCAGATATGCCAAGAACAAATTCTTACAGTCGTTGTTGTTTGAAAACTGTGAGGAGAAAATAGTTTGCTCAAAATATTAAGTTGTCAGGAAGGTCATTATATGTTTTTTGCATAGAAAAATACATCATTGGAGCCGGCAGGTTGCGTGGTCATTAAGGTGCTGGATTTCCACCTTAATGGACTTCCACTGATGACTGTCCGTGGTTCGAGTCCTGAATCTGGCAGCTTGCTTTCTCACTTTCCTCTCTTTCTGTGTGTCTCTCTGGTCAAATTAATAATAATAATAGCAATAAATAAAATAAAATAATTCTTAAAAAGAAAAACACATCATGACTTTCCTGACACCCTAATGTAATTCTGTTTTGGTGTTTTTTTTCTTCCGTTGCTTTAAAGATGTTGATCCATTCCCTTCTGATTGTTTAGTTTCTGTTTCTGAACACTGTATGTGCTTTTGTTCTCTGGCTTTTGAGATTTTGGCTATTTTATTACGTATGGTGGCGGAGGGGTTTCTTGCTTGGGGCTGGTTGAAATTCTTGGATTGTGGGTTTATTGTATTCATCCATTTTTGAAATTTTTTGACTTTTATTTCTTTGAATATACTTCTTTTTCTTTTAAGAGTTTTTTTTTTTTCCTTTTCTTTTTTTGCCTTAGGGCATGTGCACTCTCCAGAGTGAGAGAGAGAGACAGGCATAGTGGAGAGGGAAAGTGAGAAATCACCCACCTGGGGGGATGGCCATGCCACAATCCTTTTTCCTTCATCTCCTCCTTGGATCTTGGGCAGGCACACACATGGGCCCAGAATGAGTTCGAAACCATGGGGTCTGAGACTCAACCATGATCAGCTGTGTGGGAGTCCAGCAATGTAACCACTATGCCCCCTGCTGGTCCATCTTCAAATGTATTTTTTATCTGCAACCCCCTCCTTCTGGGACTCTGATTACACATACGATAAGCCACTTCATATTGTTCCATAGCTCACTAAAAAAAAATTTTTTTTCAGTTTTTTCCCCAAGTGCTTTATTTTGTGTAGCTCCTATTCCTATGTCTTCGCGTTCACTAGCCTTTTTGTGTGCAGTCTGATTTGTGTTATTATCTTAAGTTTTCTGTAGGGCATGTGTGCTCACCAGAAGGAGAGAGAGAGAAAGCGAGAAAGCAAGCTGCCAGGTCTGGGACTCAAACTGCAGTTGGCTATGTGGGAGTCCAACACCTTAATCACCACACCACCTGCTGGTCCCTGTCTAGTTTGTTTGAAATTCCATCCAGGTTTTTTTTTTTTTCAGTTATTGTATTTTTTTTTATTACTAGAAGTTCCATTTGATTCTTTTAATATTTTTCTGTTTCCATCTCCAGTATATTCACATTTTCCTTTCAACACTTAAACATGCAGAGTATGTTTATAATAGCTCTATAAATGTTCGTGTTTTCTAATTACATCATCTCTGTTATTTCTGGGTCTATTTCTAGTCATTAATTTTTCTTCTGTTTATGGGTCATGTTTTTCTGCTTCCTTGGAGTGTTTGGTAATTTTTTTGTTGGATTCTGTAAATTGTAAATTGTTCATTATCGAGTGCCAATATTTTTGTCTTCCTCAAATGTGTTGCACTTTATTCTGGTAAGCGTTTAAGTTCCTCACAGATCAATTTAATCCTTTCAAAGCTTGCTTTTAGACACTGCTACAATAGGTTTAGCATAATCTTTCCTTCAGGCCTAGTTTATCCTTATTACTGAAGCCTCTGCTGTCTACTGAACTTCCCAGGTATTTAACAAAGATCCTTCTATCCAGGTCGTTGGAACTTGCTCATCCCCTAGCCCTGAAGGAGCTCTGAGAACTGCTCAATTTACAATGTCGGTTACTCTTTGAGGAGCCTCCTGGAGTTCTGCCTTCTGCAGGCCTGGCTTTGCGTTCAGTGATAGACTCAAAGGCATCTCAGTGCAGGTTTCTAGAGCCGTCTTCTGCTCATGACTTAGAAGCTGCCTTCGGCCAGAAACCCAAGGCGATGGCAGGGCTTATATGACTCCTTTCCTTTTCCTTAGGGCTCACAGTCCTGCCTTTCTTGTTTTCCAGTGTCAAAAAGCAGTTGCCGTGTATTTTGTCCAATTTTGTAGTTGTTTGTGTTTAAGGGAGTCTAGTTCTAGTTCCTCTATGACACATAACCAAGATTGTTTTTATTAGCAGGAAGAAGACGTTTTTTTTTTTTTTTGGAGAGGCTTTTGCTATAGGGTGCGTGCGCTCGCCAGAAAGGCAGAGAGAGAGACAGAGAGATAGAAAGCAAGAAATCACCCCCCAGGGGGGATGACCACACCGCAATCCCTTCTTCTCCATTCTCCTCTCGGGATCTTGGGCATGCACGCACATGCATCCGGCATGAGTTTAAGCCACCAGGTCTGGGACTGGCACAGCGGGCGACTACATGGGAGTCCAGCAACATAGCCATTACGCTAACTGCTGGTCCCACGAAAACACTTTTTAAAAATAATTATTAATTTATTATCATTATCACTATTATTTTTTTACACTTGCTCTAGGGCATGTGTGCTCACCAGAGAGAGAGAGAGAGAGAGAGAGAGAGAGAAGGAAAATGAGAAAGAATGAGAAGGAAAGTGAGAAAGTAAGCTGCCAGGTCCAGGACTCAAACCATGGTTGGCTATGTAGGAGTCTAGCACCTTAACCACCACACTACCTGCTGGCCCCAGGAAGAAAACGTTTAGAAGAGTTAATTCACTTTTTCCTTTTTCTTTCTTTCTTTCTTTCTTTCTTTCTTTCTTTCTTTCTTTCTTTCTTTCTTTCTTTCTTTTCTTTCTTTCTTCTATGTAGCATGTGTGCTTGCCAGAGATAAAGAGAGAAACAGAGAGACAAAAAGTAAGAAATCATCCCCCAGGGAAAATGACCACACTGCAGTCCTTTCTCTTCCACTCTCCTCAGTATTTTGGACACACACCCACATGTGCTGAGAATGAGTTTCAAACTGCTAGGTCTGGGACTCAAACCACAGTCAGTCATGTGGGAGTCCAGGATCTTAACCACTACACTACCTCACCTACTGGCTCCTCACTTAAGTTTTTCTTCGAGAGATTTTTGCTATAGGGTATGTGCACTCTCCAGAGAGACAGACAGAGATGAAGAAACAGAAAACGAAGAATCACCTCCCAGGGGGGGTCTGGCCACACTGCAATCCCTTCTCCATTCTCCTCTCAGGATTTTGGGCATGCATGCACACACACCTGGTGTGAGTTTTAAGCCAATAGATCTGGACTCAAATTGCAGTCAACCACTGGGAATCCAGCAATGCAACCATTATGCCATCTGTTGGCCCCCATAATTTGTTCTTAATATAAAATTTTAAGCTCAGTTTTAGATAATTTCATAGACTTTTATGTCACTGCTAAAATTGCTCATTAGCTGACAAATGAATTTATAATCTAGTCACAGATTATAATGATTTAGAAATGTCTTCTTGCTTTATTTAAATTTGGATGGTATTTTGAGTCAGAGTTCTTAGTTTTACATTCTTTACGTAGAAAAATACATCTTTGCAAAACAACAATGATTTACCTACTGCTACTTGTTCTTTAGACTTAATTCAGTCTTCCTACGATAACTGTATTCTGCCAAGTGCTTATTTTTGTTGTTGGTAAAGTATTACACAGAGAGAATTACCCTGTTGGTCCAGAGTAAATATTTACACATGCTTAGATGGAAGAGATTTTGCCAGCACAGTAAGATCATGGAGCAACTTTATCCTGTTTACAAGGTAAGAAGTCCATGAACAGAATCTATGGGCAAGTTCTTTTCATGAAATGAAATTGTCAATAAGCTTGTCAATTTTAAGTCACAACTAAAGCCTGCCAGTGACAGAAGATAATGATATATCTATATCTATAGCTTTTTTTTTAAGGCTTTTGCCATACGGCAGGTGCACTTGCTGGAGAGAGAGAGAGAGAGTGAAGAGGGAAAATGAGAAATCACCCCCTAGAGGGGATGGCCATGCCACAGTTCCTTCTCCTCTATTCTCATCTAGAATTTTGGAACACACACTTGCACCAGTGTGATTTTCAAGTCACCAGGTCCAGGACTTGAATCACAGTCAACCATTTGGGAGTTCAACAACTTAATTACCGTGCCACCTGCTGACTTCTATAGCTATATATTATTATTATTATTATTATTATTATGAAATACACCACAGATCAGTCCAGTTAAGGATACTATAAATGTTATCATCAACAGGTAATAAACCATTTCTGTGTCCCACAAATGTCTTGCCTCCTCTCTATTTTTCCTTCCTGATTTCCTTCTCTGTATTCTTCACTTCTCCCTACTCTCTCCACACTGTCTCCAGTGTCTGTAACTATTTTCACTGCTTTTATGGCCTCCAATCTTTTCATCTCTACCACAGAGTACATACAGTTAGTATATATTAAGTGGAGGCATACAATATCTCTCTTTCATAGTCTGTCTTGCTTCGCTTAGCAATAAATCTTCCATATTCGACCACTTTCTATCAAATCTCAGGGTCTTGTTTTTTATGACTGAATAGTATTTCATAGAGTATATGTGCCACACTTTTTCAATCCATTCATCTGTTCATGGATATATAGGTTGGTTTCATGTCTTAGCAATCATGAATAATGCCAAAATAAACATTGTTGTGCAAGTGCTTTTCTGACTGAGCATTCTCCTATCCTCTGGGTAGATACCCAGGCTTATAGCTATATTTTTAAAGACAGGTTTTTACCATGTCACAGTCCTACGACAGCCTCCTAGCTGGGAGAGTAGGCACATGTTACCACATCTGGCTCCTTTTTTTTTTTTTTTTTTGAGATATTTTTTGCTATAGGGTATGTACGTTTGCCAAAGAGACACAGACGAAAAGAGAGAAAGAAAGTGCAAAATCACCTCTCAGGGTGGATGGCATACCACAAATCCTTCTCCTCTATTCTCCTCTTAGGATCTTGGGCACACATGCATATGTGCCCAGCATGAGTTTGAAGCCACCAAATCTGAGACTTGAACCATGGTCAACTACGTGGGAGTCCAGTGACATAGTCATTACTCCACCTGCTGGTCCCCTGGCTCTTTTTCTACACAAGATCTCGTGAAGTTAAACAGGCCAGACTCAAGCTTGCAATCCTCCTACTTCAGCATCACAAGTCACTAGGATTACAGATGCACACCACCACACCCAGCCTTTAGGTTGGACTGGAAAGTGAGCCCAGGCCTCCCCTGTGGTCACAACCTATGGAGCACTGATTCTATGCAATCCATACCACTGGGGCTGGGCCAGTATCTACTTTAAAGAATGTAATTAGAAGAAAGTTTTCCATGGTAGGACATACATTTTTCTTCATAGGATTCACCTTCTCTATTAGAGGTAAAAAGTTCAGAAGCTGATTCCAATTACTAAGCCTTCTTATACACTGACTTTTTGCTTGGGGTCTCTCTTCTTCAAAGTCTTAAACTATGACCACTGCCCTTCTCAGTGAAATTCAGAATGTGGAAGAACTTTGAGATTCCAAGAGCACATTCTTGGCCCTGTTTAACATCATTACCCGTGTTTAGAAACAAATGATACAGAAAAGGCTGGCAAATAACCTGTCTATCTTTGTATATCTCCTACAGAAACAAGTTGGCTACATCATGCAGGAGTACAATGATGCTGTTCAGAGAGCTGAAAGATTGTCGGTCGCTCGAGAAAACTTTCTTATGGGAAAAAATAATGCTCCTAATCTAGTGACACAGGAAGACCTGACAATCTACACAAAGTGGCTAGTGTGTCACTTACACTCTCTCAGGACTGTTCACCGCTACCTGCAGGTCTGTACATGCACTTATGTGTTTGGTGATGTGGGACCTTCCTGGGAATGATCACACTTGTCACCTAGTTCAGGAATGTCACTGTTTTTGCACCGCACCTGTGATAAACATGGCAGAAAAAGAATGAGTCACTGTCTTTGAAAAATTGGAAACCCTTTTCTCCCAAAAACTTACTCTACTGAAATCACTACATTGATTTAGCTTTCTCAAAAATGTCTCACTTGCACTATTTCATATTCATTTTATAAGTTTGTTTTTAATATCTTGTTGGATTTGTACATACTCCAATTTATTGTAGATCCATTTATTTTCATTCAGGAATACCTAATGAGGGCCTGATATGTGCCAGGTACCTGTCCTAAGCCATGTAGCAAAGATACGGTCTTTGCTGAGGTAGTAACCGGGTCCCAGGCTGGTGGGAAGATGAGTAGTACATACTCAATGGAAATACAATGCGATAAGAAAGAGTAGAATAAATTTAAACACAGGGTAAAAAGAGTCTCAGAAAAAAAGGCCCAAACTCAGGCTAGAGGCATCCTGATCACACTCCCATCTTGGAAGGATTACCGTTTTGCTACCCACATCTTTCCCTCATCTTTTCCACCTTATCTCAGTGACAGCACCATCCACAGAGCTGCCCACACCAGAAACTAGCCATCACCCTGAGGTCCTCCCTTTCCCACATTGCAGCTGGTCACCAGGGGCTCCACCTCTTCATGCCTCTCCCCAGTCACGTGGTGTTATTACAACCTGTCTCATTCCTCTGTGACTGCTTGCATCTCACACAGTGAGTGCCTCACTGTCCATTTGGGGAGCTTTATCAAAATAGAGCTGATGGGAGGTTATGGTGACTTGAAGTTGGCAACAGCCCTGGATCTCCCATCTCCAAACCTAGCCCTTAACCATTGGGCAGGTTACTGAGGTCCCACCATTACCTCCCTCCTTCCCTTTCAAACCCAATGGCTGCTCTTGAACCTGAGTCTGGAAGCTTCTGTGAGAATCATGTCGACATGTAGCCTCTTGGCTGTGCTCTTCTGCAGTCCCTCCAGTACTTGCCCATCTCTAATGTGCTGAGTGTGGCTGTCAACCAAGTCTCCGGAGCTGGTCAGGAAAACGAAGAGATCTGTGTCAGTGCCATCAGCCCTGACGTCCAGGGTTCTGCATCGCCTGGGCCTACAGATACCCACATTCCAGGTAAGGAATTCTTTCTATACAAGAGGAAAAGACTATGATTTTGCTCATGCACACTTGATTTTGCTGAAAGATTTCTATATACCCAAAAGGTATATCTTTTTTTAAAAATGTTATTTATTCCTTCTGAGAGAGAGAAAGAGTTATTCCCAACCCAATCTTCACGTTGTGAACCACTCTCAGTCTCAGCTGGCCTAGATCGTAGGCATTCATGCAACCAGCATACTCAGGTGGGCTCCGGGATGTGAATCAGAACCTTTCACGTCTGGGCCCAGTTACTTTACTGCTGTGCCACTGCCTGAACTGAAATTTTTAATCTGATAATTGTCTGATGGGGAAAAAAATTAATACTTCCTTAGACTTCCTTTAATTTTCTTTTTTGCCAGACGGTACGTGTACTGGAAAAAGAGAGACAGAGAGAGAAGGAAAGGAGAAAGCACCCCCCACCAGGACTGGTCATCCTCAATCCCTTCAGTCTCTCCCTCCTTTTAGGATTTTAGGGATGCAAATACATGCACCTGGTGGTTTCTCAAGCTACTGGGCCCAGGACTCAAACTTCAGGGTTTGCCATGTAACATCTGGATGCCTTAATCACTAGGCAATGGAATTGGCCCTCCTTAGACATTTTTATCTCCATCTTTGTGTTTTGTTGTTGTTGTTGTTTTAAGAGGTTTTTGCTATAGGGCACATGCACTTGCCTGAAAGACAGAGAGACAGAGAGACAGAAAGCGAGAAATCACCCCCCAGGAGGGTGATTTCTCCACAATCCCTTCTCCTCCATTCTCCTCTTGGGATCTTGGGCATGCACCCACATGTACCCAGCATGAGTTTAAGCCACTGAGTCTGGGACTTGAACCACGGTCGACTACATGGGAGTCCAGCGACATAGCCATTACGCTAACTGCTGATCCCTCCATCTTTGTAACTAACAAATTAAGAGAGAAGAAATAAAAATAACTTGAAGCCCAGAGTCCTAGGTTTTAGGCCTCTTTTTATCATGGCCCCACTATGGGCCTACATTTCATCTCCTTGAGCCTCAATTTACTGATCTACACAATAAATCTGTCAGATTAAGTGATTTCGAAAGTTCCTTCCAGTTTTAATATTAAATCATTCTAAGAGCATTTTCTCATCTAAATCAATGTAATATAGTTCCTGCCCTTACCTGTGTTACAGATGACTAAGAAACCTGGTCAGGTGTCTACACTGTATAGCATTCCTACTCAGAGTATATGCAGGAGTACCCGGGAGAGGCAGTCACCTCTTGGTGAGGGGCATCAGAGAATGTTCCTCAAAAGAGGGGAGCCTAAACTGGGTCCTAGGGATGAGGAGGTAGCTAGGAGGAAGCAGCGGGAGGTTCTCTCCTTCTAATCCATTGGTTAATTTATAAGTAGAATTCTTTGTTTACTGTAATGGGCAATTCTCCCGCTAAGTCATTTCCTGAAAGTTCTCTCGGACTTCTTCTGCAATGAGTGAGATGAGAGGAGTCCTTGCTGCCTCCCTCAGAAACCCAGCTCTAGGACTTGTCAGACATACTGGCCCCGTGTGGTGCATGTTGCAAACTGTGCAGAGACGGGTAGGCAAGGAGCGGAATAACCTTCCCATCAGCAGAGGAAGTGCTGACTCCAGTCACCTCTAAGGGCTCATTCTCCTCCTTGACTAACATTCTTTGGTCTTAATAGTCTCAATTTTTAATTTTATTTTAGAGCCAAGGAGAACAGAAGTCACTTCCGTCCTGCCTCAACACACAACAGAAACAGGAGAACTGAAACCTCAACTGAGGCTCCTGATTTCCCATTTCAACATCCCATATGATGTGGAGGAGCTAAAAGATTCTGCTACAGAAATGGAACTTTTTTCCTTGGTACTTTTCTCTTTTTCTTTATTTCCTTCTTTCTTTCCTTCTTTCCCCCTTCCTTCCTTCCTTCCTTCCTTCCTTCCTTCCTTCCTTCCTTCCTTCCTTCCTTCCTCTCTCTTTCTTTTTCTTTCTCCTTTCTTTTTTTCTTCTTTCTTTCTCTTTATTCCTCTCTTCCTTTTTTCTTTCTTCTTTTTCTTTCCTTTCCTGTCTTCCTTTTTTCTTTCTCTTTCTTTCTTTCTTTCTTTCTTTCTTTCTCTCTCTCTCTCTTTCTCTCTCTTCTTCCCTCCCTCCCTCCCTCTCTCTCTCTCTCTCTTTCTTCTTTCTTTCTTTCTTTCTTTCTTTCTTTCTTTCTTTCTTTCTTTCTTTCTCTCTCTCTCTCT